GGGGGGGGGTGCTCACCAGGATTGGCATAGTGGAGCTACAGATTTGGGGTCTGAGGCACTGGCATCTGTCCAGGGAGATATACTGGTACTTTCCATGGCTATTTTCAAGCTTCTAGGCCTTAAATTTTCTTATAGTTCCTGTCCTCATCTCCAGAAATATATTAACTAAAGTTTTTTGTATCTTTGTTTTTCTGCTGTAACCTAACTCACAATTCAAAGCTGTTTTACCCAGGATATTGAAATGCCAGAATCTTGTGGAAGAAGTAAAGCTATGCAGAACTGAGTAATTTGTTTAAGAATACTATTTTTCCCTTTTTCAATGTAAATTTTTAGAAATTTTCTGTTATATGTTCTTGGTTAAAAAAAACAAGGCCATGTAAAGTAAAAAGTGTGCATCCCTTTGGCATTCTTCATTCAGTTTGCTTTGTAAGGTGAGTCGTCACTGTGAGCAGCATGCTGTGCACTCTTTCAGAAAGGACACTTGGTCTCTCTTTCCTTAAGAAAGAAAAAGCTCATCAGAACTAAATTCCTTGTGTTTTCTTTAAAAGGCCAGAGGCTTGGCTTTATTTATACAGGTTTAGCATGTTGTGCATGTGCATGCATATCAACCTTACCAGTTTTGAATAAATTGGCTGTTTTCTACATAGTACATCCCAGTTTCAATGGAGAAACTTATAGATTGCTGAGATTCTTCCACATTAACAATTAAAATGTATTCTAAGAAGCATGTCTGGCCATCTGTATTCAGCCCCTGGACTCTTAAACAGAGTGTTGATATATCGGCGCTCTCTGAATAAATCCTTGGTATAGCTATCATTTGGCATGTAAGTAGGTGTTGAAGTAGCAGTAATAATGAAGCTGTGTTTGTACTGGTTTGTGAGTGTGTGTTTTACTCTTCCAAGTACCTCTCTATTGTTAGGATTGGCCATGTAAGTCTGATCGCTGAGGGTGGGGCTTCTCGTCAGACTTGGAGGTGTGCTTTACATTGACAGAGATTGGGGATGCAGTTTATTGTATGTAAATTGTACCTCAGTAGAGTTGATTTTTTAACAAATCCTACAGGGAGAAGTTCTCGATTGCCTTCAGGATGCAAGGCACGTCTCTGAAAAGTCTGATCTCAATTTTTCTAGCCTTTCCGTCGTCCACTCCTTGATATGTGCTTTTCAACTACCCCAAACTGCTGACCGTCCCTATGTGCCAAGCCCCTTAGTTTGTTGCTTTGGCTCAGATTCTTCACTCTGTCTGAATTGTATTAGTCAGGGTTCTTCAGAGAAACAGAACTGGTAGGATGTATGAAGATACATTGAAGGAGAGCTATTTTGAAGGATTGGCACGCCTGATTATAGAGGCTATGTCCCATGATCCGCTTGTGGTGTAGCTCCAAACCCCAAAGCCTGAGAAACGGGAGTCAATGAGGTAAATCCCAGTCCAAGTCCAAACATCCAAGAACCAGGAGTGCCATTGTCCGAGGGCAGGAGAAGTTGGACTTTCCAGCTCAAGCAGAGAGCAAATCCACCCTTCTTTGGCCTTTTTGTTCTATTCCGGCCCTCAACTCTTTGGGTGATGTTCCCATACATTGATTAGGGCTACCTTTACTCAGTTTACCAATCCATATCCTAATCTGTGCCACAAAAATTCTCACAGAAATATTATTTTACCAGATATCTGGACATCCTTTAGCCCAGGCAAGTTGAAACATAAAAACAACCATCACAGGTTAGTAGGCTAGCGTTGAGAAGTGGTCATGAGCAACTCTTAACACCCAGGAATGAAGGGCTTTGTCTATCAAATTAGGCCTGTAATCCATAGCACTAAAGGTGGCAGTGGTGGTACTCAGTAGTAGTTAGCAGTAGAAGTAGTTACGGAAGTAGCTGTAATAATGAAGATTATGGTAATGATAGAAGAAAATATTTACTGATTGCTTACTAGGTACTGGACACTTATTTATCTGAATTATTTTACTCAAGCTTCACAATAACTATAGAAAAAAACTATTGTTATCCTCATTTTATAGATAAGGAAAATGAAACAGAAATTACCTAACTTATTCCATAACCTACTGAGAATCACAGAGCTTGTCAGTGGTAGGGATGGATTTCTAATGGGTTGTAGTAATCATGACTGATGAACAAATCACCAGTTAGATCTATATTTGAATTATGGACTCTCGAGTGAACTCTTGGCTGTCCTAACATCAGCTCTGTCTTGCACCATGGTTGTCAAGCATCCTGGGACCAAGTTTAGGCAAGTAGAGTACAAAGCTCACAAGGCTTGACATTAACTGGTTTTTCTAAGTTATTTTGTACATTTTTCAGTAGCAAAACTAAATGAGATCTTTAGCTTTATCCCTGTTTCTTACAAGGGAAGAGCCTTTCTGCAATTGGACACAATTTGGTTTTTCCTCATTGAGAATTTTAACCCTGTTTTGTATTATTGCTACAATATTTTGTAAACATTTATTTTAGTTGCTTTTTTTAACTTTTCAGGTCAGATTTTTTTTTTTATACTGACCTAATTTTTCAAAGATTCTCACATAAAAAAAAATTAATGACCTATATTTAGACCTACTTTTGAAGAACAGTCAGAATTCAGCTGGGTGTGTAATTCCAGAGCTGATTTGTTAGGTATTATCAAATAGAAAATAAAAGAGATGCAAGTGGAAGAGGATTTCAGAGAATGCAAGTAGAGTAAGAAGAATTAAATAATTATTATTTTAGAGTTGTAGTGAACATTAAATGAGAACCATAGAACGTTAGCACATTTTGAATGGATAATAAATTCCAATTATTATTTTCACAGTGACTTGACTTAGTTGAAAACACAGTGGCTTTTGTCTTTGTTTCCTTGCTTTATAGAGAAGTACATACACACACACAATACTTAATACTTTATATTTTTTTATGACAGAACTGAAATTTTGATCTCTCAGTAACCCTGTTCACTACTCTGTGATCTATGCCATATTTGCATTTAATGAGGAACAATATGCCTTGACTTTTTCTAATGAATACAGTGACTTTTATGAAAAGAAAATGGCTAAGAAGGTTAGAGAAAGGTTATAAGTAAATGTTCTCACAAAGTTGCTGAAATAGGAAAGTAAAGGAAATAGCTCTTTTCCTGGACACTTTATCTAATAGAAAGTCATTTTATTTTGGGGAGGTTTGGCAGATATTTCTCTATCATTCTGGAGGGGAAATTTTAAATTGGCTTTAGTTCCAAAGACATGAGAGATTCCTGTTGTGCATTTTTGTTTATTTACTATGGCATCCTTTTAGGACACACTGGGTTATTTCAGTATGTCTTGAAATATTACATTTATTTTTATGTGAAACACTATTGTTTTTCTTTGTAGGTTTCCAAGTTTGGAGAGACTAGTGTATTAATAATGAAGTCATCTCTCTGAAGTAGTTTCTTCAGCACTCCATATGCTAGGATGGATTTTATTTTATGCCTATTCAGAGAGTTTCTATTTAGTTTGTTATTGGTAATTACCCCCTAGTCACTTTCTTCATATCTATTTTCTAGGTAATAGTTCCCTAGTTTATACCTGTATTGTGTATTATTCTTCCCTAAGTGTATTATGTTATACTTCTTTATATTAAATCTCATCTTAGACCTGTCCTTCCAAATCCCCAGGTTGTCCATATCCATCCATGTACTTGATTGATCTTCCCTTTTTTTCTGTTTCATCCGTCCTAGATTTGTATCATCTGCAAACTTGATCATGTTGGAATTTACATTCTCCTCCAGGTCATTAATGAGCGTCTGGATAGACTTCCCTACGGGACATGCTGGATATACTACTGGATGTTCTCAGTTGTAACTCTGTTGATAATAATTCATTGCTTTCTTCCCATCAGAGATTTTTTTTTTACCACTGTACTATACTGTTATCCAGGCAATGGCCATACCACCTCTGCTTCCCTGCTACTCACCTTTTTTGTCAATCATCTTTTTCTAAGATACAGATAAAAATCATTGTGTTCCCTCATCTACTTATGCCATTGCTTTTTTTTTTTTTTAAAGATAATCTGGGAAAATACTGTCCTTAAATAGAAATTTCTTTTAAAAATTTGAGTCAAACATCGGTGAGTCTTTACAAGTATGTTAAGTGAGAAAATATTTTGGAAATGCTGCCTAAGCCTTTGCCTTTTCCATGAAAAATGGTCTCTAGTTATTTGGATTTTTAAGTAAAAGAGAATAATTAATTTCTCCCCAGCTAGCAGTATGACTTAAATATATGTATTGTTTTTCCTGAATATGGCTTGCATTTTCAGTAAATTATTCTACATCAAGGTGGTTTTCTAGATGAGACGCAGTTCGTTTATAGTTTTCAGAGCACGATGCAGAGTCACATGTTTGTTTATTTTTGATGTTACAATTTTTCCTTTGTTTTCAGGAAAAAGAAGAAGTGGAAGGGATATCCGTAGGTGCTATACTTTCTGACTATCAGCGTGTTCGAGTAGAAAATGTGTAAGAACATCATATATCCTGTATTTAAATATACATGTATTTTAAGAATGTGAATAAAAAATTTAATTGTATCCAAATAATAAATAGATATGATATTCTACAGGCCCGTGGAACTATCTATTTACCTAAGTAACAAAAGTTGCGCTTTTATTTTTGTTCCATTCTTATATCACACATAGAGAAAACTCTAACTTACCATGAGGAAAAATACATTATTTATAATAAAAAATTAGGGCAAAGATTTTTAAAGTCAAAAGTATTTTTTAAATTTTTTTTCTTATTTGAATCAATACACCCTTTTAATCTCTTTTAACTCTTCATCATTTGTAATAAAAATCAGGAGCTTGTAAAAGGAGTGCAGTAATGTAATAATATCTTTAAAAGCTTATTAAGGAATCTTCCCTTCTTTGGTCCTTAGGATTCAATTCTTGGCCAAAAATACTCATAATTGAAATACTTCTATATAAAGTCACTCAGCTTTCAAAGAATTTTTAGGTTGTTGCTTCCCACTCTCCCCAACCCCCCACCAAGGGATGTAGCACTAGTAAATCATTTTCTGTATCTACAAATACCAAAACAGTTCATTTAATTTATCTATTAAAAAAACATAAGGTCAAATGATAATACAGATTACTTAATGTTTGTTTGGCAAAACAACATGAATGAATTTATTTTTCATTTTTAATTTATATGGATAAGTAAAATATTGTATAGAGGCTTTATACATAATTACATGAGCAAAATAAAAAAATGTGGACTCCAGTATTAATCTTAAACAAAACTTAGCCTCTAAATAAATAACTTTGCCATTCAAAAGTGTAAATAGAAATAAGGGCTATACTTACGTAATGGTTTCATATTCTTGACAAAGAAACCTTCACATTGAATATCTCTTTAAAAACTTGCATATTAATGGACTTGAACATTTAAACTTAAAATTTTATCTTATTTGTTTTCTCTAATTCCATAATGAATTTCAGGTAGTTAAAAATACAGAATTTTAAAAGTAAATGACAGAAATGCAAGGCAAAGCATATTGTGAAGGGGATTATGACTCATATTTGGGGTATATTGGAATCTCTGGAGAATGGAGATGGAAATGGGGGAGATTAAACGTGTGTTTTGAAAAAGTTTTCCTTACATTCTGCTGGCTTTCGTTTAAGAACACTGAACTATTGATGGAGCTGGATTGTATATCCCTTAAGCCATATGTTAGAAATAATATTATTCTCCTCAGTTTTTAGGTCATCTTCTCTGAGAATTTTTTAGTTTACAAATCTTTGTTTTTGAATAAGTTCAAACCCATGTGGTTTAATGGATAACCAAACTGTAGATAGGGCTGATGTCTATTGATGAAAGTTGAAAAGCTGAATGAAAATGTGCCATTGATTAGGAGGCTGTATGGAAGAAGGACCCAAAGCATACTAATGGGTAGAGGCAAGATTTTTCTCAAAATGCAGTCTCAGGAACACTTCAACACATGGCTAAAATACCCAGATTTTATACCATAAAGCATATCTGCACTTTTATTCTTGAAAATTTTAAGACAGCGATATTGGGCGTCCATTGCTCTACAAACTGTTTTGAATTAGCCTATCTTCAGTTTGTAGTTTGTGTTGCATCATTATATTCTCAAGATATAATGCATTTAATAAATGTCACTAGCTCAAATACAACTGATTTACAGAGGAAATGTATTTTGAACTGTTAAAAAATTTAAGTAGGTAAAGAAGTTTGACTTAAGTCTACAAGTAGTCAACAGATTGTGGATATCAAAGCAAAAGTCAAGAATTTTGCCATAAGGACAGAAAGGAATAGTTTTTTTCAATTAAAAAAAAAATCTCAGCTAAAAAGGGTAGAGAGACTAGTTTGATTAGCCGGCATTAAACATTGATGAGGACAGCAAGAACAGTAATGCTTGTGTTACATCATTAGTTTCAGTTTCATTATTTTTGTATTAACTGCCTCAACAGTGCCCTATATGCTCTGCGACATTTTACAAAGAAAAATTATATATAACAGTTTCTGTAGTAAGGAAGATTTTCATTTCTTTGAAAGTCAGGGTATATGTACATGAAAAAATAGTAGTATTTTTAAGGCCATGGATGAGTAAATGACCAAATATGTCGTACATTTACTAAGTTTGGGATTTTCTGAGAGAGAGATCAGTATGGGCTAGAGTAGTCATCCAGGTAACCTTACAGACATTAGGGTTGGTGGGTTTTAGAGCTATATTTCTTTTTTGAAATCTGATCTCAGCCACTTACTGTGTGACATGGGCAGGTTCACTTGGCTTTGACTACCATTTTTTGAATGCCTATTTTATCCAAGCATTGTGCTACATTCATTACATTACTTTTAATCAGTTGTAGTCCTCCTTGAGAAAGTGACATTTACACAAAGGCCCAAAGGAAGTGAGGAAGGTAGGGAGCACGGTTAGTATTAGGCCAGAGTGAGCAGGGTAGGGGAGGCGGGAGTGAGGGGAGAGTAGTAGATGAGGTGTGAGAGCTAACCAGGCTGAGATCCAGGTAGGTCTATTGCAAGTACTCTTACTGGGAGTGATGAAAAGAGTTTTGAGCAGAGGAATCCCATGATCAGTTTAATGTTTTAAAAGGATCACACTGACTGCTATATGGAAAACTGATTTTAAAAGGGCAAGGACAGAAACGGAACAAGATTAGGAAGATATTGACAGGATCTCTCGGTGCCACAGATCCGGTGTTAGTGGTACTGGTAAGAAGTGGTCTTAATCTGCATTGTGGTGATTGAATGAGGAGCAGAACGGAGGAGTAAAGGATGACTACACTTTCTACGCCTTAATCTTAACAAGAACTTTGAAAAAACAGATCTTTGTCCCCATTTATGAACTAGGAAACTAAAGACCTAGACCTTAGTTTTGACTTGCCGTAGTCACATAGCTAGCGAGTGCAGGAGTAGGTTTCAAACCCAAATTTGTCCTAAGTCCAAAACCCATATTCTTTCTTCTGCACCATAATGTAAAATTTGTAGCACAGTGCCCCAATATATTGTATTTTGTTGTTATTTTGTTTTCACTGAGTTGAATTCTTTTTAAAAATTTCAGTTAGTACGTAAGAATAGTTCGTGTAACCATACTATTGTAAATTTAATCCACCTATGATTATTTTATTAGGTTAAATTTATTTGCCTATTTTGCATATGCTTTACAATTTTGATGCCCAAGGAGGTTCTAAAAACAAGAATAATTATCCATTGGCATTTGGATGCTTTTTTGCGTAGATTTCTAAACTTAGAGTCTTACTAAAATTAATACTTCTAATCTGCCTAGAGATTTTATTTTTATCTGTTTATACATAGCCTGTGGAAATTAAATATGTTTATGTTGTACACATAAACTTCATAGTACAAAGCATGTTTTTAAAAGCATTTTAAATGCTAAAATCCTTAAAAACACGCTATGTTTAAAATCAAAGTAATTGCTATGGATCCAAATATAGAACATTCAGATATCATCAGATATCACTGATTTTTTTTCTTTTTATTTTATAGGTGTAAAAGGCTTAATCTTCAGCCTTTAGCTTACCTTTGGCAAAGAAACCAAGAAGATTTGCTCCGAGAGATGATATCATCTAACATTCAGGCAATCATCATCAAAGTAGCAGCTTTGGGTATGTAGCCAGATTTTTAAGGGAGCTGTTACCACACAGATGATGAGTTCACTAATAAGCAGTTACAACAAAAAAGAAGAATGATTTAGAATATAAAAATGTGGAGTCACAAGAAATTGAATAAGGGGAAATTTTGAAATGGGCTTTTGACTATTTACCAAAGTAATTAATAGTGAGCCTCATCATTTTATTTTTAAATATATAACTGCCTCTAAAACTGGTATTGTATTATGGTCCTTTAAGTTCTTTTTATAGGATTTGGAATTCAGGTTCATAGGAAACAGGAAATACAGGTTGAATTTTTTTCTTGTTTTATTTTTTTATTATTTTTTAATTTTATTTTTACCATCACCATTTATCCCCTCTAGGCCCTTTTCCACCTCCACCCACTGCTCCCTGTCTAAAACCACCACATTGCTGTGTATGTTCATGAGTTCTCTCTTTTTTTTTCTCTCAATCCCTCCACCCACCCCCCAACACCCACATCCACCACAGCTGTCTGCCTGTTCTCTATCTATGAGTCTGTCTCTATTTTGCTTGGTAGTTCAATTTGTTCATTAAATTCCACATATAAGTAAAATCATATGATACTTGTCTTATTTGATACTGGCTTATTTCATTTAGCATAATGTTCTCCAGGTCCATCCATGCTGTCGCAAAGGGGAAAATTTTCTTTCTTGCCCTGGTCATTGTAGCTCAGTGGTTAGAGAGTCGGCCCGCACACCAAATGGTCACAGGTTTGATTCCCAGTCAAGGGCACATACCGGGGTTGTAGGTTCGCTCCCCGCCCCCATTCAGGGTGTGTTTGGGAAGGAAACCAGTCGATAAAGCTCTTGTCAGTGTTTCCCCCTCTCTATTTCTCTCTCTCCTGCTCCCCCCTTCCCTCCCTTCCACTCTCTCTGAAAAAGCAATGGGAAAAAATATCTTCAGGTGAGGATTAACCAAAAAATATTTTTTTTCTTTCTTTTTATGGCAGAGTAGTATTTCTTTGTGTAAAAGTACCACAGCTTTTTTATCCACTCATCTACTGATGGGCACTTGGGCTGCTTCCACATCTTGACTATTGAAAATAACACTGCAATAAACATAGGGGTACATATATCCTTTCATATTAGTATTTCAAGTTTCTTCAGATGAATTCCCAGAAGTGGAATTGCCGGGTCATAAGGAAGTTCTATTAAGACACATAGATCAATGGAACAGAATAGAGAGCCCAGAAATAAATCCACACCTTTATAGTAAATTAATATTTGACATAGGAAGCAAAAGCATACAATGGACTAAAAATAGTCTCTTCAGTAAATGGTGTTGAAAACTAGACAGATAAGTGCAAAAAATGAAACTAGACCACCCTTTTACACCATACCTAAGAATAAACTCAAAATGGATTAAAGACTTAAATGTTAGACTCAAAACCATAAAAATCCTAAAAGAAAACATAGGTAGTAAAATCTCGGACATTTCTCATAGCAATGTTTTTTCTGATATATCTCCTCAGGCAAGGGAAACAAAAGAAAAAATAAACAAATGGGACTACATCAAACGAAAGAGTTTTTGCACAGTAAAGGAAGCCATCAACAAAATGAAAAGACAACCCACTAAGATATTCACCAGTGACACATCTAGTAAGGAGTTAATATCCAAAATTTATAAAGAATTTACAAAACTGAACACCAAAGAAACAATCCAATTAAAAAAATGGGCAAAAGACCTGAATAGACACTTCTTCAAAGAGGACATACAGATGGCCAAGAGACATATGAAAAGATGCTCAATGTAACTAATCACCAGAGAAATGCAAATTAAAACCATAGTGAATTATTACCTCACACCTATCAGAATGGTTATCATCAATAAATCAAAAAACAAGTGTTGGTGACCATGTGGAGAAACGGAAACCCTCGTACACTGTTGGGAATGCATATTGCTGCAACCACTGTTGAAAGCAGTGTGGAGTTACCTCAGAAAAATTATGGGTTGAATTTTTCATCTTTTTCAAAACTATATTTGACACAACACATGATATTTTCCTTATATTTACTTAACATATTTTGAATAATGCTAAAATAGAATGATTGGCTTTGTGGGGTTTTGTTGGGGATGGTGAGAAGATCACATTTGAGGGGATGTCATTTGATCAGTTAGGATAGACACAATGTTGTAGGCAGGTGGTAATCTCATTCAGATATGGATATTATATACGAACACATTGTTTTGCATTTTTAAATTATACTCATTTTCAAGAAACCATAGGGTTTGAGCCCAATACATTTATTTCATGAACCTATTACAGGAAATGCCCTGGAGCCTAAGGGTTCTCAAAGCCTAAATCATGTGCTTCATTTGAGAGTGTTTACTTTTGTGATCTCTGAAATAATGAGGCCTCTCAAGCTGTGGAATAGTTTACAAACAAGTTCACACTTTAAACAGCATTAATAGAAAGATCCCATGATATTTCTCCTTGGTAAACACCAGCCTGCTCTCTTCTTGTTGAAGTCAAGGCATTGTCTTTAGTAGAAAGCCTTATTTAGAGAACTGCAGTTGATGAAAAGAGAAGGGTTGAAGTGGTGGTGTGTTCTTATTTTTGAGAAAAGGTTGCTGAGCAACTCTTATGATTGATGTTCTCGCTATAGATATATCTGTCATATAATTTTCTCTATCAATCTAGGTAGAGTATGCTCTCTTTCTTGTGGATTTTCTAAGATTGCCTAGTTCTGTAATGAAGTTTATGTGACCTCTCACTAGACAGTACACACTCAATCTCTTTTACTACTAGAGAATAGGATGGATTAGAACCCAGAGGAAACCTGCCTCATTAGAAAGACAGAACCAAAGAATATGACCTTGCTTCCACTTTTATTATAGTATGAAACTGATATTGTGTGTCTTTATTTGTGTGTGTGGATGTGTGTGTGCCTCTATGTAGGGGTCAGAGAGGTGATTAATTGTATTAAACCTTAGAGTGAAGTATAAAACTGAGCTAATTTTTCCTCGGCCTCTCAATGACAGAAGTATAGCTTTGATTTTAACATTTATAGCACATAGTTTCTACTGATTACCTATAGGTATGCAAAGATGAAAGTTATTCTTGAGAACAGTATTAAAGAAAGGTTTGTTGAGTGGCACATTTCTTCTAAAGATGCAGAAAAATATAAATGATGCAATAGAGGCTTCCAACCTTTTTTCACTCCTTTTAAAGTTTTCAGAAAAAGTTGTAAGCAAAAAATGGGATGATAGGTTCCTCCCATGGGGAGAGGGATTCAGCAAAGTTTTACGGCCTTTTAGATCTCATGGAATGGTCTTAGAAAAGGATAGGACCTATGTGGATTATACAAAAATATTTCTGATAATTGTGTTAGATACCTTGGTGTCTGCAGGCTAGTGAACTCGTGAAATTTTCACATAACAGCTTAGTATTTAAAAAGTTTATGGTTTTTAGACTTATTTAAAGAACCATTTGCACATTGGATTTAAGAACAATCCTTCCTTTTAGAAATATTAATTTTTAATTATGAGTATTCCATGAAAACATTCTTGCTCTATGTAGTGTTAAATTTTCATCAATTAAGAAAAGATCCCCTCTGTTTTCTAGCCTCTCCTTTCCCACCAAGTGCTTCATTTCCCAGGGATACACCCAGAGTGATAGCTGATCATCTTTATAGATCACCTTTTTTGGCATATGTATATGTATGTGTAGAAATATTATGATTGTTTTATAGGTTTTTAAATATTGCACAAATGGTATCTTGGTCTGTGTATTGATTGGGAACTTGCCTTTTTTTACTCAACAATATATCTTGGAGATTTTTTTCCATGTCAATAAATATAGATCTACCTCATGTTTTGTTTTTTTAAGTAATCTTTTATTGAAGTGTGGCATAAATGCAAAAAAGTGAACAAATTCTTAGTGTATAACTAAGAATTACTGAATTTGATGAAATTTGACTTATTTTTACAAAGTGAAAATACGTATGTAATCAACACCCAAATCTCAATATGGAACATTGCTAATATCCTCCTAGTTAGTATTTGCCAAAGGTAACAGTTCTCCTGACACTTAAAACTGTAGATGAAAATTTTTAATTTTATGTAATAGAACCACACAGTATATTCTCAGTTGTGTCTGTTTTCTTTGGCTCAACATTATGTTTATGAGATTCATCCACATTACTGAATAAAGCAATAATTTATTGAATTCTCATTATGGTATGGAGGTCCATTGTAGGAATGTACCACAATTTAATTGTCCATTTTATCACTGATGACATGTAGGTAGTTTCTAGTTTGGTGCTATTTCAGTGTTGCACTGTGTAATACATTTTGTTCAACGACCCCACCACATATGCAACAATGGCCTATAATATTGTAAAAGAGCTGAAAAATTCCTATTGCCTAGTGACATCATAGCCATCATAATGTAGTGCAATGCATTACTCACATTTCTGTGAGATGCTGATGTAAACAAACACACTGCTTTGCCAGTCGTATGAAAGTATAGCACATACAATTATGTATAGTCCATAATACTCCATAGTGATAATAAATGACTATGTAACTGATTTGTGTGTTTACTATACTATACTTTTTATTGTTATTCTATATATATATATATTTCTTTAAAGATTTTTTTTATTGATTTTTAAAGAGAGAGGAAAGGAGAGGGAGAGAAAGAGAAATCAATGTGAATATGAAACATCAATGGCTGCCTCCTGCACACCCCCTACCCGGGATTGAGCCTGAAACCTGGGCATGTGTCCTGACTGGGAATTGAACCAAACTGGCAACCTTTCAGTGCATGGGACAACATCCAGCCAACTGAGCCACACCAGCCTGGGCTTTCTTATTATTTTAGAGTAGTGACTCTTTCTACTTATAAATAAGAAGCTTTCTTTTAGCAGCAGCCCTATATATCTCATGCTTACCATGTCTTTTGATTGCATCATTTTCTCTTTTGCTTGATTTAATCTCATGTTGTTTAGTAACATGCTGTACAGGCTTAT